TGGTTAACTCTCTCTAGATCTAATCGGCATATATGACCTGATTGTTTGAGCAACGCATTATTGTCTCTATTTCTTTCTTGTAGTATCTACACATCTATAATGCTACTGCTTGACACATAGGCCTTAATGAGAATGACTCTTATATGAGCATCAAATGCGCTCCTTAATTGGACTTTAATATGCATTCAGCCCCCAAGGCATTAGTGACACGACGTCGTGTAAAGGCAAGTCATGGTCTGAGTATAATGACCGGATACTATTGCAGTTAATATGTCCGCCAATGTACCAACCCCATAACACTTCTGATAATGACGAATGACTGTTTCTGAAACTGGATAACTGACAGAGTTCATAGAATTCTTTCCTGCTAATATACCCAATAACAGCTACTTAGATTGGCGGACCAGTATCAGTCTACGGTGGGGGCTATTTTACCCACAAGTGACTATCATATGTGTCCAGATGGTTGTTGGCAGTAAAATCTACATCTCGGCAATCAAAGACCGCTGCCTACAGATTAGCAAAAGATGGCATACTTATGATTCATTATGGCCTTTGCTAGCCTATTACATTGACTTCTTAGACCATAGCATAGTCACACATCGCACACACTGGTTAGGACTTCAATGAACCAGGTGAAACTTTTTAATCATTCGCTTATGGAAATTGGAGTATCCGCCGTCATCACCAGCACCACATCTTTCCCAAGAACACTTTTAAATAAACTTGCATATATTAACTTACTCGATCTGAAAACTGCTTAATTTTATTTTGCAATTCTTGCCTCATCTTGCATTAACGGCATTAGGTACTTGGTTTCGAAAATGACAACAAAGGGAATAGGGCAGTTGAACTGAATCATTTTCAAGATTTGTATTTACAGTCTGTCTCATAGCATAAATTTTAATATTCTTACCTTGCAGCCCTTGTAAGCTCATCTGAGTCATAGAAGCGGCCGGTCCGCGATTCTACCCCTTGTCTTGATCCTCTCTCTCCCCGATTAATGGGCGTCGCCTATTCAGCGTCTAGGAAGGCTGCCAGACACTGGAATGCGACGCAGCGAGCCATTCGACACATCGAAAAATGCAAGCCGGCCAAAAAACCTCTAGTACTAAATGAGCAGTCGAGCGAATTAGAAAAAGAACTGCTAAAACGAAATCCAGAACTAGAGAAGCGCGTTACTTCCTTTTCCATTGAAAGTCATGGTGTAAAGGATTCCATTTTACCAGAAGGCTTCGAGTACGTTTCAAAATCCTCTCGGAAATTACCGCAGGTACTTTTGTTTCTTCTCACTGTCAATAATTTCTCAGAGAACGGATCTTGGAAATCCCATACCACCTCCCTTTATTGATTTTGGCTTTGCTGTTCCCGATAATATCCCCAAGGGCAAACTCACCATGCGCCAAGCTATTCATCTAGTAAAAAGCCATCAGCTCAAACAAAAAAATTCAGAAGAGCTTGCTGCGGAGTACAATTTAGACTCAACTTTGGTATGTCATTGTAATGTTATTTTAAGTTGATAGGTTAACTCCATCTCAAAATACTTTTCCCTCTTTGAGCGGGAAGAAGGCCAAATTTGGGTACCTCATTCAGAAAAGAAAACAAGCCCCGAAAAACAGTTACTTGACTCCCCAATCACCTCTGAAGATGAACTTGCTTCCCCCGAAGGCATCTCCCGATATATACGCATGAATGAATTGGACACGAAACCTCAGCACTGATAGACTTCTCAGTTTGTAGTTTGTACTTTAATAAATTATTCTCCACTTCGACTCTATTTAGATTTCTATGCCATTTTGCTTTCGGTTAACCTCTTCAATAGGTTTCTGTGAATGCTCAGTACAGTTAAACTGGTATTTCGTTCGGTCTTACTCGGGAATCCACGACTTCTTTTTGTTCGCGGTCGCAGTTCGATATCTACTGACTTATCAACATCCCTGCAAAAGTATCTTGCTCGACATGATTTGGAATTCGCTGACACCTTTTCGAAGCTATCTCAGAGAGTGGCTTCCGGCGACTCAAGGAACCTAAAGTAAGCGCCTTTCCTCCTTGGGCTTTAAAATAGCAATGTTCCCAAGATCACTTGAGCAACTTGCAAACATGTCCAAAATCCTGTCAGCTACCTCGTTTTCTTGCCCCACAATTCAGGTTGAGCCAGAGCGTCAAAGCGAAAATTTTGTTATTCTCATCTTCACTGTGATCCCGAAACGTTCCATGGTAGACATAAGAGTATTTCCTCGTAGAAATGGTTCATAACCAGCTGTTAGAAGAAGTGTGTTGGGTGTTGTAAACAGGGCATTATGGATCCATCGCATAGAGAACAGCGAACCAGTGTCTAGGGCCCTAGCACACATTCATCACATAAGTCCCATCTGCACACATTCGGAATTCGAATGGTCCTTTTCGGCCATAGGGGCATACATGGCAGAAAAGTTCACCGCATAAACCCCACATTATACCTAATCAAACTCCCCTGCTGCCAGCACTAGTAACTCCGCCACTAGCTTCGCCATCACCATCATATTAGTAGCCACATCATCACCCGGTTCCTACTGTTACCCTACACTTAAATCACGCAAAGACCTGATCGATCACCGGCGAACCCATCGCACCGAGACCGATGAACTGGTGCCGGAAGCCCGATTTACATTAGTGGCCGTCCAAACTGCCCCAGAACATTCAGACATCGTATAGGCCTATTAGGCCATATGGACTGCCATGAAAACCTTGGGTAAAAAGCTACAGTCCAGCCCCCATCAAGACACATCGCCCTACCTGTCCCGCCAAACACTTCCCTAGGTAACCTATCAATCTACTCTACAACACGAATTTACACGCCACCAAC